AAGGGATGCTCCAATGAAGTTTCTTTATATGAAAGATCCTATCTTTTTTTCGATGAGGAATCACCTCCTTAAATTTTTTACACTTATTCAGGTATATCCTGTATATTAGATTATAATTTTTCTTTCTTTATAATCACTCACCTCTCAAACCTTTCCTGAACTTCCAGAAATAAATCAAAACCAAAATTAGCCAAATCGGTCCAGTTGTTCTAGACTTTTAGCGAGACTAACGAACATATTGGGTCACACGGACGTCATGTAATGGGGCGAAAATCCTGTTTACAAATTTTGTAACTAGAAAAACTCTTGCTCATGACCGACAGATCTTCGCAATATTTTGTTTTCATCTCAATTGCTTTCTTCAGAAATTCACATTGTCGGTGAAAATGAAAAAGTAAATAGCCAAATAACTGATTTCCTGAAAATAACCAATCTCTCTTGAAAATATCCCTTTTTGTCTTATATGACAGAGACTTGTTTTATGAACATAATATAAACATCCCTGATGAATTGTGAATTCGTTAACCATCAATTCTTGTTCAACTAAATGGAAGTTATTAATTTCCTTTAGCAAAACAGACCAGAACCTTTGTTAGATTACAAACTGGAATATGTCAAAAATGTGTGTGAATTGTCGAGGTAAAAATAGAAACATTGATGAGTGATTCGCTATTGCACATGAATAATTTCGAAATCATACAATGAAATTTGTTATTTCTTAGGATTTCTCGCTACCACAGATGGCATAATTCCTGGAAATTTGGGTCTGAAAGATCAAAATTTCGCCTTGAAATGGGTTCAAGAAAATATACATCTCTTTGGAGGAAATCCCAAAAAAGTAACCATTGGTGGCCAAAGTGCGGGAGGTGTTTCAGCAGGTTATCACGTAGTGAGTCAACAAAGTAAAGGTGAGTGTATACAGGTCGCTTCATTGTGAAAGAATTGTTTCCTCTCGAGAATACATGGTAAAAATTTGGTCAGACAAACCCGAATTTCCAATTGTTTTGCACGAAAATAGTGTTGAATTGAAACACATCGCAGTGAAGACAGGAGATTTGGATGAAACTTGTCACTGGTCTACTTCATATCCTGAATATGGCTTGGTGACTGTTTAGGTCAACAGAAACTATCAGACAAAGTCTAAGGTCAGCTGAGGACCCAAGAAAACCTTCAGCAACAGCTGAGGATTGTGTGGGAACTTGTGTCTCTAAACTAAACACAAGAGAAACTGTTAACACCGACAAATTAGAAACGAACCCATTTGTCCTTCTTCGACAATATTCAGCTAAAAGGGTTGGGGAGCTGGACTCCATCCTGATTGAAATGAAGACGCTAGATCAATACCGACAAATTAGCTGCAGCTGAACATGCTCTTGAAGAAGAATGCACCCACATCATCTCATTCAAAGATAAAACTCAAAATTACTATCCAAGAGTATACAGATATGAAACATATACAAATATTCTGATACTATTTGACATTAACAATCTGGTAGCAGATCTCATCTGAACTTTTTGTGATTGGAAAACAATATTTTTTGTCTTTAAACTGCTGCTGATTGAAAAACTCTCGAACAACATTACTCTACTTCTTGATTCACAAAAAATAAATAAATTGGAATTCAGATGTACTTTTCCATTATTTTTGTGGACTGAACTTTCTCGAAAAACTTTCAAACATCCTCATTGGAAAAAAAAGTTGAGTTGATGCATGACTTGGTCATGGTATAAAAAGCATTGCTTCCCTAACATTAGATTCGCGTTTGCAGTTCAATATTTCTTAATTCAGGCTACTAATTCAGGCTACAAATTACGGCTACTATCTGTTTCAATAACCCAATCTTATTGATTGTGAAAAAAAACGTATCAAAAACGTCAAAGAATTCGTCAATAATCATGTTCAAAAATATTATGAGAAGACATATCATTATTATTATATTATTCGAAATGGAGGCGGCAAAGTATAAAAATTGGATATGTTTCTTCTCAACATGTGTTAGGAATCACACGTTGGAAGGTAAGACCTTGTTTTTCCTTAGCCCACACAAGTTTCGACTTCTGAGGGTTGTCGTTCATAGGGGTGTGACAGCTGTTTAACGGAAAAAATATTCAACAAATATCTATTCTTTGAGGACAAAGCACAATCACAAATCCTCAAGATGTTCTCAGAGCAATGCCTGTGCGAAAGTAGCAATTCACATTGGATTTGAATCGCTGGAGATTAAATCCGTTTGGGAAAACCTTATCACGGAGTTTTTTTCACATAAACGCAGTTTTTCTCCAGATGACAGAAATCCCTAATTTATATCTCTACAAACTATATTTTACCACGTTCTGACTCATTAATCACTTTCTACATAGAAACGAAATTCAAATTAACAACGAAGTCAAAAAAACTCGTTGTCGGTATTATTTATGTCTATTTTTTGTGAGGAACTGATTACTTATGATATCAGACGGGCGAGTTAGTATGAATCGTATTTTCAACTTATTCAAACATTGGGTGGTATGAATAAAAATGAGTATTCAGTTTATATTATTATAAATTTTGGAGTGAATACTCTACGTGGTATGAATAAAAAACCGAAGCAGATACTCGGCTTGAGTAGGTACTCTTATGTACAGTTTGTTGAGAGAATATTCTTATTTTTGGTATGAATGAAAATATCTGTATGCTCGTTAGGCTGAGAATGTACTTCATGAATTTGGAGTGTAATAGTTATAGTATTTCCAATACCAATTGGAACAGCACAGAGAAGGAATTCCCGCCTCGACATAGGCTTCGGCATATTATTTTTCAGTGGCAGTTTTTCAGTTACAAACATAGCAATTGATCACCCCATGAAAAAGTTATTTCAACTGAATTTTTCCACCTTCAAAAACTTGGAAATTTATGGTAGTTGATTTCTGAGTCGGAAACTCTAAAATACAATGAAAACGCAAATAATCACATCGAATTATCGTCAAACATATCTTTACAAAATAATAGGTGCCAACAAAATTGCTAAAAAAATGAAAATTCTTCTTCGCTATAACGATCGGATTTATGGAACTTTGCACATAATATTTGTTCCCTTCCTTTATAACGTGGGCCACACAGTTCTTCCACACATCAATCACTATTACCTACTTCATTCACCACTCGCCTTATATTATCAAGCACCACAGCATTCAAAGTTGGTGACTGATTACATTTCCGTAAGCTTTTTTTCATTGTGGCCCAAACCATTTCAATTGGATTGAACACAAAATAAATATGGAAGCAAACGTAAGAGAATATGACAACATGTTTCACACATCGATTCAATAATATACTCTTTTTTGAAATTACGTTGTTTTATGGTCGCAAGTAATAACTTTTCCGTTGGAATCTCTTCGGGTATTTCTATGTCATGATTTCGCATGAAATCAACAATATCTGGTTTTTTGTGTTTTTGTGTTTGGTATTGTAGTCAATAACCGAGAATGATACGAAGCATTATTCATAACAATAACCGAGAATATTTGGGAGAAGCTGCTCACTGAACCAGGTTTTGAATAAAGCCGCAGTCATATCTTCGTAGTAGTCAGCAGACGAATTACAATACTTGGTTTCGTCTACCCAGCCATATTTGACAATATCATGGGTATCAAACCAAGTTTCGTCGGGGTAGATTATATGTCTGCTGGATTCTCGGTAGCTTTTCATTCGCCTCAAATATTCTTGTCGGAGTTGAACAATGCGAACAATGCGACGAAACTTGGTTTGACACCTATGATGTTGTCAAATATGGCTGGGTAGGCGAAAACCAGTATTGTGCTTTGAACACACCTTCTTCAAGGGGAAAACGTGTTATAATTTTGCATGCCGGGTTGAAAGTGGTTTCGTACCTAATGCTTTGCTTCTGTCGGCCAAAAATATAAAAGATTCGTCTGCTGATTACCACGAAAATATGACTGCGGCTTTATTCAAAACCTGGTACAGTGAGCAGCTTCTCCCAAATATTCCTCCAAATTCGGTTATTGTTATGAATAACGCTTCGTATCATTCTTGGTTATTGACTACCAAATACCAAACAATAACACGAAAAAAGCAGATATTGTTGATTTCATGCAAAATCATGACATGGAATTACCTGAAAAATTCCAACGAAAAAGGTATTACTGGCAACCAAAAAACAACGTTATTTCAAAAAAGAGTATATTACTGATTCGATGTGTGAAACACGTGGTCATATTCTTTTACGTTTACGTTTCTTTTACTATTGTGTGTTCAATCCAATTGAAATGGTTTGTGCCACAATCAAAGGAAGCTTGCGGAAATGTAATCAGTCACTGACTTTGAATGCTGTAGTGCTTGCCAATATAAGGCGAGTGGTGAATGAAGTAGGTAATACTGATGTGTGGAAGAACTGTGTGTGTGGCTCACGTTATAAAAGAAGGAAACAAAATAAATATTATGTGTGAAATTCCATAAATCCGATCGTTATTCAACCCAATGATGATTCCACCTCATCCGAATATAGCGAAGAAGAATTTTGATTTTTCTAGCTATTTTGTTGGCATCTCTTATTCTGTAAATATATGTTTGACAAGAATTCGGTGTGATTATTTGTGTTTTCATTGTATTTCAGAGTTTTCGACTCGGGAATCAACTACCTTAAATTTCGAAGTTTTTCATAATTACCCATGGTGGAAAAATTAAGTTGAGATAACTTTTCCATGGGGTGATCAATTGTAAGAATGAGTAACTGAAAAACTACCTCTGGCTATGTCGAGGCGGGAATTCCTTCTCTGTGCTGTTCCAATTGGTATTGGTAATACTATACAAAGTCATACTTTATGCTCATACTCATGAGAAAATACTCGGAGTTTATACTCCGGTATTATTCATTCCACTCATTTTCATGTTACTGTTGGCTAGATCCGAACTGTGAAATATTCACTACGTATTGTCGTATTCGCAAGCTTGTTGATCGTATCAGCTCGCACAGTTCGTAGGGGGACGACAACCAAATAAATTTTATTACCATTCTCTCTAACATACTATAATGAATCTAAAGAAATGAACTTTAAATGTTAAAGCCAGTCTCGGAAATACCTACACAGTTATGAGCGGACTGACGCCTACCAGAAAACAACTACTCCACTGGCTAATACCACGAACGTCGTTGGATTATATCCGACAAGCGTCAGTGCAGGAATCTTTACAGAAAATTTCCTACATACTTATAATATGTGTATAGATTTTATTTTTCAATATCAATATTCACTGTTGTTAACAAAATATTTCAGGATTATTCAGTAGTGCTATTTTGCAAAGTGGTTCTTCAATACATACATGGGGTTTCCAGACGAATCCGGATGGATATGCTTTCAAACTGGGAAATATTTTGGATAATACCCTTGGCTATACGAATTCTAGTAAACTATTGTCAGTTTTGTTGAAAGCTTCAGCAAATGACATTTCTGCAGCTTCAGTGAAGGTGAGTACGGTAGCTGCAACTTGCTTTTCAAAACAGTTGAGAAAATATTTCATATCGTACACGAGCTACTATCATCGCACAAGAGGAACCATATATCATTCTCTTGAAACGAAATCTATTTGACATTACTGAAAAATAACTAGTAAGAAGAAGTTTCGTCACAAGAAAGAAAATTCAACTCAGATGAATGAAAAAAAACAGTGAGAGTGAAAAAGTATAAAGTATAGATAGATAGATAGATAGATAGATAACTTTATTACCTCATTAGCCACATAAGTGTAGGTTCGTTAGTTACAATCATCGGATACATCCGGATACAATCATTAAAATCTAACATTATATTGAAAAAAATATATAAAAAAAATAATTGCATAATTTTAGTTTTTTCCGAATTGAGAATTAGACGGTTATTGTCGCACCACCAAAGAAATTGTTTGACAACATTGTCGGTTTTGATAGATAACACAAACATTCGGAAGAAAATTTTGGTTGAATTGAATTATGTGAAAACATTTCGAGAGTTCTAACAGGAACCGTCAGTTTCAAATCTTCCTAACACAACTGGAAGCCCAAACTGAGATCTCTTTGAAGTTTCCACAATTTGTGGATTGATTGGTCGTTCGGTAGCAAATCGGTTCCACTCAGAGCAGTATATATACTCGGCAAAATACAGCTGCCCCTCGTTTCAAGGTTCAATTACCATACCTCTAACTACAGTTTTAAAGAACTCTATCAGTAGATGGTGTTTTCAGGTGATTAAAAGTCAGTGTAAGTAAATCGATACTTCCCTACAGGTCGGTCGGTAGCCGATCGGTTCGACGTGGGTGCTTTGTTTACTCACTCAAATCGACCGCCGTGTTGATCGGTGGTTCAAGTCCCAGGCTGAATGATCGATTTCCACTTGCTATCATCCAACCCGTATTAGGAATCACACTTCGAAAGGTAAGACCTCGTTAATCCTTAGCTGCACAAGCTTCGACTTCTGAGGGTTGGCGTTCGTAAGGGTGCGACTGCTGGTTAACGGCACAGACTTTAAACATATTCCAGAAAGTATATCAACAATAAAAATAAAAGCGAATAGTATGTATCCAAAATGTAACAGTGATCACTTCAATCAGATTACTTACCAATTTCAACAACAATCGGTAGTCAAGCGGTTCGGCGTGGGTGATTTGTTCACTCACTCGAATTGACTGCCGTGTTGGTCGGTGGTTCAAGCCCCAGTCTGAACGATCGATCTTCACTTGCTATCGTCCAACCCGTGTTAGGAATCACACGTTGAAAGGTAAGACCTCGTTAATCCTTAGCTCGCACAAGTTTCGATTTCTGAGGGTTGTAGTTCGTAGGGGTGCGACAGCTGGTTAACGGAAAAACAGATTTTTAAACAGATAAGATAGTCCTGGAAAATATTTCCATCTTCAACAATGAAGTGAATTGAATTTTCTGATCGAACTGAAATGAAATTACAAAATTTGTTTTTTTCACAGCCAACGACAGAAATCATGACAACACTTTCTGGTTTGAAATGAGAATTGAAGACGAATATTCAAAATTCAAGGTACGCTCATTCATATTCTTACATTTCAGGTTTTAAATGATGAGAATACAGATGGAGTCGCGATAATGGATTTGATGTGGGCACCGATAATAGAAGACAAAAGTTTGGATGACACTTTCATATCTGATCCAATGTATGGTATGCTACAAGACGGAAAATTCAACAAAGTTCCTATCCTAATTGGTTTCACCAGCGAGGAATCGTTATTATTTGTACGAGGTGAGACTAGATAATATTCACAATATAATTAATAAAAGAAATAAAATTTCACTCACATGGAACACGTCATCCTCACTGCTAGACATATCCGATGTTTTGTCGCATCGGCTCTTCAGCAGCAAATAATACGGATGACATTATAAGAAAAAACACTCAATAAGTTCATAATTACGACATTTTATCACGAAATGGGTTGAATCCACATATGTCATCGATGACAGTACGTAAATAACATTCATTTACTTATTTGAATAAATCCAAGCCAAAGCAATCTTGTTTAACCCTTCGTTAGTGTTCTGGGGTACAACATTGCCCAGAACTGCAAGTCACAGCTCTCAAATCAAAACGAATTGAACTACCGACCTCTAGTGCTTAGTAGCTGTAGTTGAAACATATTCTTCCAGGTACTACACACTCTCATCTCTCTCCAACGTCTCAATTTTATTGTAAGCGAGACATCTTAAAAGTCAGTCAGGGTACGACATACCCCGGAACACTTTTAATGTAACTATTTGTGTTATAAAGTTTCAAGGTGAATTTCTTATTTGAAATAATATTCTGCAAAATATTGTTAACAATTTTCATGAATATTTCAGGAGTTTTACTAAAATTGTGAAATGTCTTACGAAGAAGAACAAAAAAGACTTAAACGTTTATGGGAAGAGTTTGGCGCCCGTTCAGATGATGATGAGTCATTTATTGATAGTTATTCTTACATCGACAAAACATGTAAGATCTTAGGAATACTGATGGAAGTGGTATTAAATTGTTCCGTAAGACAATGTCACTTCAAAGATATTATATTCTGTTACAGTCTCTGCGATTTGACAATATACAATAGAAAACAAAGAAGGGAATTTGACGAATTAGCACCCATTAGAGAAATACTTGATAAATTTGTTGATAACTGCAGAACGCATTATTCGCCTAGTGAATATCTAACAGTTGATGAAAAGTTAGAGCCATTCAGGGGACGAGTCTCATTCCTCTAGTACATGCCTAAGATACCAGCAAAATACGGATTGAAAGTTTTTGCACTTGTGGATACAAAAACGTATTATTGCTTGGACATTGAGGTTTACGTTGGCACACATCCGGATGTGTGCCAACTTCGCAATAATCCGGAAGACACAGTCGAGCGTTTAATTGAACCTGTATCTGGAACTTAACGAAACATTACTTTCGATAACTGGTTTACCAGCTACCCTCTTGTGATGAATTTGCTCGAGAAGCATGAGCTAACATCGGTTGAAACTGTCAGAAAAAACAAGAGACAAATACCATCCGTTTTTCTGAATATGAGGAACAGAAAGCCCCGCAGTTCTGTATTTGCATTCAAAGAAAATATCACAGCTGTGTCATATGTGCCGAAAAAGTCGAAGAATGTCATCCCTTTCTCTATATAACATCATGACAATGCTATAATTGACAATTCTGGTGACAAAAACTACTGAAATTATTAGCTTCTATAATTCCACCAAGGGCGGTGTAGACACTTTGGATGAGTTATCTGCTGATTACAATGTGTCGAGAAACAGCCTCTGACACTATTTTTTTCATTCATGAATTCCGCTGGAGTGAATGCTCAAGTTATATTTAAAGCAAATACGCAGAAATACAATTTGAAGAGTCGACATTTTTTGAAAGAACTCGATCTGCAAGTGATATCCGAATTTCTGGATCAACGAAGACAAAACCCCTGTCTTCGCCGAGGACTACGGGAAAACCAAGAGGGGGAACGTCATGAACCTGGACCGACCGAAGCGACGACGACTCATTATTTTTTTGATGAGCAGTTTCGGAACTTACACATATAATTAGAATATTACGAAAAACTTCACTAGGAATTTACTGGCACGCTACTGTAATACGTCTTTTGAGTTCTTCAATATCAGAAGGTTTTGTTGTACAAACAACGGATTCAAGATGCCTCATAGAAAGAAATCTAAGGGTGTTGCATTCGGTAATCTCGGTGGTCTATTTTCGTGGTCTGTTTCCCCTCTAACATTATGAAAAACTTCACTAGGAATTGACTGGCATGCTGCTGAAATACGACTTTTTAAGATCTTCAATATCAGAAGGCTGTGTTATATAAAAAAATGATTCAAAATGCCCCCAAAGAAAGAAATCTAAGGGTGTTGAATACGGTGATCTCGGAGGCAACTCAACTGTCCCCTTTCGCCAATTTATCTATCCGGAAACCTCTCGTTTAACCACTGTCGGATGGGAAGAAAATAATGAGGTGAAGCACCACCCTGCTGAAGATGTAACAGATCCTTCTGCAAATGTTCATTACCTTCTGCATTCATACGTAGTACATATTGCCAGTTCTCTTCTAGAAATGATGGAGCAATAATGGCATTTTTAAGAATACTAGCCCAAATATTAACCTTTTTTGGGTATTGTGTATGCCCTCCCCAAAAAATATGTGGGTTTCCGTCACTCCAATATCAACAATGTTGTCTATTAACATTGCCATTCAGAAAAAATTGACACTCATCGCTGAAACAGATATTGACTCGTTGAGACATGATTTCACAAAACTCTGTTCTTCTATCATAATCATCCTCATGAAGCTCTTGAAGAATAAGCATTTCATAAGGATGCAATTTATGCATTTTCAATACCTTTCTTACAGTCTTGCGTGACATTCAAGTCAGTTCTGATACTGATCGTAAGGAGTTTGTGGGCTCTGCAGCAAATGTTTCCAAAACTACAATTCTACCTCTTTCAATTAGTACTCTGGGGTTATTTCTTTTTTTATTTATCATCAAACTAGTTTTGTGAAACTTATTTACCAAATCAAGTACATACCGTTGACTTACATTACAATTTGGATGCCTTTCTTTAAAAAGGCATGCCGCCCTTCGTGTGCACTTTCCAACTTCTCCATGAATTACAATCATTTAAATTCTGTTTTGAAGAATGTGAACCATTTTTACATTTTTATACACTTAATTAAATAATCATTCAACAGCCCAATGGGTACAACTGTATGCATAATAATACCACATCGTTCAAATTTGCGAACCAATTCTTTGCCAGAAAACAAAAACTTTTCACAGCAGAAATAGCAAAAAGATGGCTTCTGTGGCTTTTGTACAAGTTAACACAATCTGATACATTTCTATTTCGTTCATTTTTTATTTCAGACTGTGTTAGACAAGTATTCATTTTCCGTTATCTTCCACATTACTTTTTTCTCTTTTTGTTGTTGTTGATGAATATTAAAGTGAGCCAACAAATGCCAAGAACTGTGTGATGTAGATTCATGTTTCAGGATTAGTTAGGATAGATTTTTAAGTTATACTATAATATTTGAAATGACAAGATGTAATTTGTTCCTGAATACGTTTCTGAATGAGAGTTTTTGGGAATAGTAATATAAACCTTGTTAATTTTTTCCTATTGAATCTGTCTATGCTTATTTCGTAAAATTCAGACACACACAAAATAGTAAAAGAACCAAGGGTTCTTTTTTGTATGTTGGTGGCGCACTATATCTATTCTCCTTTTGATACCTTTTGATAAACCTTTTAACCTTTCAGTATATAGTGATTTAACATTTTTTTCACACGTAACAAACATATAGTATGTGATGCCGTTTAGAAATTGTATTTTCTCCTTTCAATTAATATAAGCTCGCCAGGGGTTAAATGAGAAAATCCGGGAATAGCCAAGAAAAGCCAATGATTTATAAAAGATATTACGTTTCAGATGCTGAGATTTGGATGAAACTTGTCACTGGTCTACTTCATATCCTGAATATGGCTTGGTGACTGTTTAGGTCAACAGAAACTATCAGACAAAGTCTAAGATCAGCTGCGGACCCAAGAAAACCTTCAGCAACAGCTGAGGATTCCTTCTAGCTAAGGTCGGTCTACGAGTACATTGGAACCACGAAAATGTGGGAACTTGTGTCTCTAAACTAAACACAAGAGAAACTGTTAACACCGACAAATCAGAAAGGAACCCATTTGTCCTTCTTCGACAATATTAAGCTAAAAGGGTTGGGGAGCTGGACTCCATCCTGATTGAAATGAAGACGCTAGATCAATACCGACAAATTAGTTGCAGCTGAACATGCTCTTGAAGAAGAATGCACCCACATCATCTCATTCAAAGATAAAACTCAAAATTACTATCCAAGAGTATACAGAGTGGGACACCCCATAACACACGGTACCTGTAAACCAAACCATTAATTTTTGTGAAAAGTCGTTCATTTCATTATACGTATATTGATTGAGGCTATGAAGCTAATTTACAGAGTGGCTAAAAAAAAGAGACATATCAAAGTTATGTTTTCAAATGGAACACTATGTATTCGAATATACTTTTGAATAGGTCAGAAAAAAACTTTTTCATTATTTTTGTGGACTTTCTCGAAAAACTTTCAAACATCCTCATTTGAAAAAAAAGTATTGTTTGATATTGTTATTATTAAAACATCATGATTGAGTGCACATGATATGTCATCATATATTCGAATTGTTTTCGAATTTTTCTTAAAATAAATTTTTTTGGAAGCACACAATATGGAATCTCCCAATGTTTCAATACTTTTGGATGAAGTTGATCTCGATGATAGTCTATTTTTTGTATAACAAAGTATTCAATTCATTCATTACACAATGAAACATATACAAATATTCTGATACTATTTGACATTAACAATCTGGTAGCAGATCTCATCTGAACTTTTTTTGATTGGAAAACAATATTTTTTGTCTATAAACTGCTGCTGATTGAAAAACTTTCGAACAACATTACTCTACTTCTTGATTCACAAAAAATAAATAAATTGGAATTCAGATGTACTTTTCCATTATTTTTGTGGACTGAACTTTCTCGAAAAACTTTCAAACATCCTCATTGGAAAAAAAAGTTGAGTTGATGCATGACTTGGTCATGGTATAAAAAGCATTGCTTCCCTAACATTAGATTCGCGTTTGCAGTTCAATATTTCTTAATTCAGGCTACTAATTCAGGCTACAAATTACGGCTACTATCTGTTTCAATAACCCAATCTTATTGATTGTGAAAAAAAACGTATCAAAAACGTCAAAGAATTCGTCAATAATCATGTTCAAAAATATTATGAGAAGACATATCATTATTATTATATTATTCGAAATGGAGGCGGCAAAGTATAAAAATNTACTCCATATATATCAAAGAAGGCGAAGACTGTTTCATCTACAGGCATTGTCATGACATCGGTTTTTTAGGATGCGCGTGGGATAATTTTCTTTGACAATCTTTAGATTAGGTAGAAATATCAACGGCGAGTATTATGCGAACTTACAGCATCGTTTGAGTGAAGAAATCAAGAGAAAGGCCGCAAATGGCTGAGAAAAAAGTGTTTCATCAAGACAATGCATCAGCTCATAAATCCATTATCGCATACCAAAATTAACGAATTGAAGTTTCAATTGCTACCTCATGCACCCTATTCGACAGATTCAACCCCACTGGATCATTTGATCTTTTCTAATTTGAAAAATGACTCAGTGGATAAAGATTTTTCATTGATGAAGAAATGATGTCGGCAGTTAATTGTATTTTGAGGAGCAAGAGCTGAAAGAAGATCATGTTGAGAAATAAATAAATCTTTGTTTTGCCGGGTACTTCTGGGACCACTCTCGTAAACCTCGTTGATCATGGCCAACAAATATACAAAATAGATACGTCTGTATTACCTTCCGCCCCAAAAGTAACTCTTTGATCAGTTAATATAGTTAACGAAAATGTATAATATATTGTCACTGTTGATATGATTTTTCGAATAATTTCACTCAGAAAGAATGAGGAATTGACATAAAGTTATATATCCATCCCAAACCATGCTAATCAAAGAAAGATATAGAATGATTATTTGTATAAGTAATTTTGGAATTTCTACATCAGTAAGACTATGTCTACAAAGACTAGGATAGCATCGGTTTCTGATAAAACAAGTTCAGTAATGATGATCTATTCAAATCCAGTTGTTTGAAGTTATGATTTTCTTCTAAAAGATGATTCGAATATGTTGAACGTCCTGGATGCGATTCCTGAATGTTCTGGCGGTTTGACCAATACATACCTTAGGAGATATTCCGAAATTCAATTTTTATACTCCTGATTTTTTGAATTGAAATATCTTGCCTTTTTTATTTTCCAACTAACTTTCCCAACGTATTATCAGCTCTATATCCATATTGAATATCTTAATCATTGAAAAATTGAGCCACTTTATCAATTGTTCGTCAAAAATATGTTGGAGCCTTACAATTGATTTTGATTTTGAGAAAGAACTATTGATCTTTATCAAGTAACGACCGACTCGATCAGAAAATTAATTAGGGTTTGGTTCATTCCTATTCTGTTTGATTCATCAGCACAAAAATATGCACGCAAGATTGCATATCTTGCTTTAATTTCTCAATATGCCAAAAAATTATTCGAAAAGTACTACCATCGATCACCGTATTGAAGCTATGTTCTGGGTTGTTTCCTGTAGTATGCAGGTTTTTATGCCTGACGCTTCATCTGTCACTGCGGAAGCATGTGATCGACTTGTTTTCAAAGAAGAGACTGCAATGCGGTAATTTTGTCTTCGGTTCCATATTATCAAAGGTGGGCTTGACTTCGTTTCTCTTAATTGCATTACCTGGCCTTTTTCGTGTACAATTGAGGACACTCAGTCAGATTTGATCAATGTTCACTGCGTCTTCTTTTCTATTGAAATCTGAATATCCTGTAATTTCGAGTTTTATTGGTTATTTTTGTTTTTTCGAATGATATAATCATTTCAAGCACGTCGACGTTCACCTCATACTGTTTGATAATATCCACCGCAGTAGTTAACGGAACGAAACTTCCAGACCATGGCCAAAAAACCCGGAAATATATTTGATACAATCATCTCCGGTCGTGAAATTCTACATTCTTTGAAGGTTCGGTCAGTTTCATCACATATCTCATCAAGGATTCCTCATAGAGAAAAAATGTTTAATGTTGAATAATAATAGTAACAATGGGTCTTTATTTCCCATACATATAGTAAAACCAATAATGATTGAGAGTAAAGCGAGTGGTCATATCTAAATTTAACGTTACCAGTTTATAGCAGAATCAAAATATAATAAGCAGTAGAGTTGTAGGTTGTGGCAAATTATAGATAATACACAATACTAGTACGATTAAAAGGTATTATTTATGACAAAAATCAGTAATGAGCTTGTAATGAGTAATACTTATACATTTCCTGATTACTGATCAGTTAAAATTCATTATTTTCTGTATAGTGTTAGATATTTATTACAACTAGTGGCAACGCTGTACGCAACGATATTTC